GTCTGGTTACTAACTGAAAGGTTGATGACTCAGATCCACCAGCCCCTCCACAGGAGAAAGATGAGACAGTCTCCTCCTATAAAGACTTCAAGCCTTGGAACCCAGTGGAGGTTCTTCCAAACGATTGGCAACTGGATGGAAGGTGGTGATGAGTAGGAACTGACTCAAGGAACTTGGGGCTTGGGTTTTTGGGTTCCTTTAGTCAACAGGACCTCATCAGCCCTTGAACCAAAGATCTCTGAAGATGCAAAGTTCTCTAGAAACCTGTGAAAGTATGGACCTGAAGGCAGATGTCCTGCAGACCAACCGTTCCAGATTAGTTTCATTTAAAAGCAGTATCACTGAGGCAGTTAATGTGACCAAACAAAATGTCGATGAATGTTTATATGAAAAACTAACATGATTTGTAAGCCTTCATTCAAATAAAAAGAAATACAAAAGTAATGTCACTGACTTGTACATGTGAAGAATGTTGAGATGGCAAATATTTTGTTACTGAAATGAGAGAAAAAAACCAAAATCCTAAGGAGTAATAGTCTTGGAGAGTTAAGATTTGGAGAAGATGAAGAGGTCTGATCTCCAGGTTTCCTCTCAGCAGCTTTTGTGTTAACTGGGAAGCAAGTGCCACTTTCCAGTTCTCACTCTGTACCTGGCTGAACTCAGCTCCTGACTCAACCTTTAGTTTGAACTCCTTAGCTTGGCTAAAAACACCATTAACTGTTCAGTTATTAAAGTTTAGTGATTTCTGTTCTCTCTCGCACCCTTACAACCAAACTAGTCATCAATACTTGTTGATTTTGCTTCTGGAATATTTCTTTTACTCTCTCTCAACTTTAACCCCACTGCTAGAGTTAAGAGCACCTAGCTCTCTAATCTACACCCAATACTGTTGCCAGAGGCTTCTTCTGACATAGGAGATGATGATGACACATCTGTTCATCAGTATGGCTTACAACACTCTTTATAATATTGCTACAACTTATTTTAATGTTATTCGCCACACCCCGTATTGTCCCGTCACGGCTGCTGGCAAGACCTTTTCCCTAAAAGTGACCCCTTTTTTACAGGACACCAAACTTTTGCACATCCTACTCTGTATGTACATTTCATTAACTGCTTTGTCTTCTTGAGCTGCTCTTTGAAATCTGCTCATCTCTCTTCAGCATTTCTTCCCTTGTTTTTGCCTCTCAACATTCTTGTGCAAATTTCAGTCTTTCTGAAATCTATTTTGGTCTTTTTTTTCTTCTCTGTCTTTAGCTTTCTTCATGAATGATATCCTTGATGTCCTCCCACAATTCATCTGGTCTTTGGTCATCAGTGTTCAATGTATAAAATCTATTCTCAAGATGGGTTTTTTAATTTTTTTAAAAAAATTTTATTATTGTGTGTGTACTGTCGAATTAGATCCAACTGGTACAGGAGGAGATTGCTTCTCCTTCTCCAGCAGAGCATCTTCAAGATGGCTTTAAATTCTGGTGGGATAGAGTCAAGGCTGTATTTTGGATCTTGTGAACTTGTTTTAATTTTATTCAATTTCAATTTGAACTTGCATGTGAGTAATTAATAGTGTGTTCCACAGTCAGCTCTTGGCTGATATGGAGCTTCTCCATTATTTCTTTCCACAGATGTGGTCAGTCTGATTCTTGTCAAGTACATCAGGTGAAGTCTATGTGTATCGTTGCCATTCATGTATTTTTTAAAAGGTATATGCAATGAATTTTCATTGATTGAACAAAATTCTAACATTTGTTTTCCAGCCTCACTTCTATCACCAAGTCCCTATTTTCCAACTACCAGTCCTTTGTTTTCAACTTTTACATTTCTGTCACCGCTGTTATTAATGCATGTTTGATTGCATTGTTTGATCAACTGTAAAAGTTGGTAGCAGTCCTTGATGTCTTCATTGGTTTGTTAGTGATTGGTGCATATATTTAAAGATATTAACTGGTACTATAAACTGGTAATGAAATGTGTTAACTGGTCTTCCTTGTATGCGTATGGGTAGTATCTTTTTTCTTTTATTTCTCAGTGTTTTTCTTTCTTTTTTAAAAATTTTATTATTTTTGTGTGAGTGTACCGTCAAATCAGATATGACTGGTACAGGAGGAGATTGTCCCTCCTTTCCCAGCAGAGCATCCGGTGGATTCGAACCGTGCGCTTCTGGGATTGTAGTTGCAGCTCCTTGCCACTAGGACACCAGAGCTCCCCTCGTATGGGTAGTATCTTACCACTCACAGTATTGTACTTCAGGATAGATCTTAAAATGTTGGAAATTATAAAAATGGCTAGATTGTGAACTGTTGGAGGGCAGGGACATGTCCCTACACTTAGCAGTGTTTGCAAAGTCATCAGACAGTCAAGAAGCAATTGCAGAAATAAATAGCTATTGCTTATAGTTTGTACATTTGCATACTGCCCTGTATTGCAGTCTTTTCATGTGTATAAGGTGTAACCAGGCTGTGCAGTGACTCATTATTTATCAAGCATATCAGGATATATACCTCTAATTGAGGGCTCTTTAATTCAAAGCTATTACCTGGTGAGATGAGATACTTGTCCAATGATACTGTCATTACTAAAATTTTTTTTAATTCTTCCCTTGGAAATACTTTTGCCATTCATAACACTATCTCTTCAATAGCTTTTCTGGAAGCATTTTTTTTTTACTTTTCATTTATTAACAACTACCACCATACCTCTCTATTCAGGAAGCAAGCGGGTTTTGTATAAATGGTAAGTAAACTATTTACCCTTTCATCAAGAAGTTTCAGCAATGATATCAGTTTGAAGACTAAGGTGCACTTGATCTAAACCATGACCTTTTCAATTACTTGCTATACAGTTGAAAGTTAAACAATGAATAAGGATGACAGACATGAATTGATGCCTTTAAGTTGTGGTGTTGGAGAAGAGTGCTGAATATTCCATGGAGAGCCAAAAGGGCAACCAAATACGTCTTGGCAAAGGTGCAGACAAGATATATAGTTAAGAGGGGCCAGTTCCTGCAAAACAGCATCATGGTTGGGAAGGTAGAGGGTTAGTGAAGGAGAGAGAGGAAGACACTCAATAAGATGGACTGACAGTGGCTGTAACAGTGGGCTTGAGAATGTCAGAGACAATAAGGATAGCACAGGATAAGGCAGGACTTATGTCCATTGTTCACAGTAGTACTTATAAGTAGTAATTAACTTGACAGCACTTAACAAAAACAACAATAACAAAAATCTTTGGTTTTTTATTATAAACAAAGATTTTTTTTTTAATTCCCACCAAGTTTTTGTTGTTGTTTAAATGTCATCAACATCATGCTAGAGGGAGAAAGAATTGAAGCTGTGAATAATTTAATCTTGCTTGGAATCAACACTCCTGGAACCAGCAGTCAGGAGATCAGGAGACATTATCAGGCAAGTTTGCTGTTGGGGACCTCTCCAAAATACTTAAGAGCAATTATGTTAGCTTGAAGACTAAGGTGTTCCTGATTCAACCCATGGTCTTTTCAAACACTTGTTCCACACCTGAGAGCTGGACAATGATTAAGGATGACAGAAGAATTGATGCCTTTGAGTTGTGGTGCTGGAGAAGAGTACTGAATATCCCCTGGATTGTCAAAAAGAAAAGAACAAACCAATATGTCTTGGAAAATAGTGCAGCTAGAGAGTGCTCCTTGGAAGCAAAGATGATGAAGGTCCATCTCTCATACTTTGGATATGTAGCTAGGAGAAGAGGGACATCATGTTGGAAAGACTGAGGGTTGACAAAGAAAGGAATATCCCCCAATGAGATGGATTGACTGTGGCAATGGGCTCATGTGTGTCAGAGATGATAATAGCACAGGATAAGCTGGGGTTTAGGTTTGTTTTTTATAGGGTTGCTATGAGTCATACTTGACTCAATAACACCTAACAATGAAAAGAGGTTTGATGAGGGAGATAAGATCTGGACAATAATTATAATGGAAAAGTTCCTGAGAGACTGGCCTTGAATTTTGGAAAATACCAAAAGTTCTTTGGTTTCAAGCTTGCTAGAAGGATGGTAGAGTTAATTGTTAACAAATTGCTTTCAGGCAATTTATTACAGAGATTTTCAAACAGGAGCTCAGTATCAGCAATACCAACAAGCAACTAAATTCCCTTGGCTTGTTTGTTTAATACCCAGTCTCCCACTCTAGACTGAGTCTTCCCAGGCCAAGGAATCTGTAGGGAGTTCTGATAGGCTACCTCTTAGGCAGTTGTACTGCTAATACAAAGACCACAACTCTGGTAGTTCGAATCCACCAGCAGCAATCTCCTTCCCCCCTATTTGTTATTGTTGTTGTGTACCAACCCATAGCTAACCCTCAGGCAGGTTTTCAGAGGCAGTTAATGACAGAGGAGGAGACTGCATATCCGTCTCCGGCAGAGCAGCTGGTGGATTTGAACCACATGCTTCTGGATTGCAGCGCAGCTTCAGAAATCTAATGGAGCTATGTGGAGTTTGAATTTTGAGGGCAGGTGCTTGAGGTCTCACCTTTTCTCATTTTCACAGTATCTAGTGGGAAGAGTAGTTATTGTGTTACTGAGTCCAAAAGTACCTTGCGCTATATACCCCCAATTTAACACTCTGTGCTCTTTCCCCCATGAGGTTCAGTCTCTATAATGACAGCTTTGTGGATCCGCACCTGGCAGAAATAAAAGGACCAAAGTTGGGGAGGTCAGTGGGGGACGGATGACAGATCCGGGAATAGAACCCGGGAGTTCTGCTTCCTCTGAGCAAGTGTCCTTTGGTGGGAGCCGCGAGGAAGGGAGCAGCCCTTCCTGCGCACGGGCGCCCGCCCAGGCCCGACCTTTCAGGGACTAGCAAGCAGGGACGCCTGCAGGAGGTCAGGGATCCCGGGGGAGCGGGGCCAGAGCTAAGCGCCCCGTCCGCTCCGCTGGACACCCCTTCCCAGCTTACGAGGCAGACTTTTCAGGTTCTGACAAAAGGAACTGGGGGTAGGAGGGGCGGGCTCGAGAAAGAGGAAAATGGTGCTGAGAGATCAGGAGGAAAGTTTGAGCACCGGGGAGAGAAGGTGAGATCAGATTCAGAAACTGAAATCACTGCAGACGGCTCCGCACACTGCCAGGCTCGGGTCTTCCCTGGCCCGCCCTTCCTCCCGGCGGGCCGGCC